CCTCTTTAGAAATAAAGTAGATAGCAGAGGCGACCTTGACCCTTGACCTTTAAACCTTGAAATACGATTTCATATCAGAAGTAATACGCAACTGACATTTATAAAAAAAATTATCAAACCTCAGCTCCTGAATTAAAGTTGTTTTCTTTATTTAGCATGCGAATATACAATAATTAGGGATATTAAAGCAAAGACGAGATGAAATCATAAAATATGGCAAAGAAATGATAACTATTTATAAAGAATAACATATTCTTCTGTGGTAAATCTACCCAAAAGTTACCCATCGATATTCATTTTCATTATTTCCGGTGCTTGATATCGTGATACCTATAAAGTACCGATAATGCATAAAGTTTTTAGTCTGTGAATTATAAACATTGTAATACTTCACCGCGTGAAGCATGTCAACAACATTCCTATCAAACATCACTATTAAAGCTGAATTAAAGTTTTCCCATGTTCGGCTCGCACATGGTATACGTGTTGATAGTGGTATATTTTTTCGTTTGATTTCATCCATTTTGTTTTGTTTTTTATAGAGTACTACTAACTAAAGCGTGAACCAGGGATTATCTATGTCTTAACCCTTGTATCCTCTCAATTTCTTATTTCTGGTCATTGTTATATAATTAGTGACGTAATATCATTAGCAGTGTTCCTGGTCTATAAATATAAGGAGACGAATTAACATTGATATTATGTACTTGTTTCTGGGGTTTTTGTATATTATGTGTGACAATGTATTAAAAGAAAAATATATAAACAAATCGATTCGGAAAAAAAATATTGAAGAAAAATTCATTTTAGTACGACAAAGCCTCCCCCTTAGAATCAGCAGATTTCCATACAATCAGTTTAGGACAAATATATATACAATCTATTCGAACAGATTTTAACAATGCAATGTGGCTTTGCTAGGGCGCAGTATAGCTACCGATAATTTGGTGTTGGTCTTCATTGCTTTCGACGTTTCCCGAACAATGTGAGCTAGGTGGTCTGGTAAAATATATGTAAACGGAGGTTTAAGAAAATTCCTGTGTTATTGTGAAGATGTTTGAAGATTATTTTTGTCCTGTGTACGAGTATATGTTGGAATAACAGATTCAACTGGCTCAAACAGAATCTGAAGCATAGCTTGAAATTACCTGAAATAGACACACGCAGTTCGTATCAGTTTTAATGGATATCATACTAAACAGAGATTTGTCAGCTTTACGATTCAAAGTGATAAACTAGCAAAATACCATGTATACTTTCATAATTCAAAACCATTAAGCTGACAGAACTTCTCTATACACAGATTACAAATGATTGCCGTCATAAAACATAGATATTTCAGTGGGAAGGAAAAAAATTAAAAAACAAATACTTATAGGTAGACTGCCAAATGTGATGTAAGCGGATCACATGAAAGTATGTTGTGAATATGCTGTGGAAAGTCAATTATGTTATGTTTCGACATACAACACCGTCAAAGACTGTCCAAGCCATTTCTATATACTCAGAAACAAATTTACATGTCAGCGTCCGAAATAACCGCGTCACTTATAACTGACATTAATGATAAACGATGTCATGATAATTTATTTCGAAGTTTGAACACATCAAAAAAGTAAGTATGGAACATTTTCATTATTTCATACATTCATTGAGGACTACTAAAAGTGCATCATATTTTAAAGGCCATTGTCTACAACAAATTACTTATATTTACATCCAAAAGTACTACAATTACAACATATTTGCGCCCATTTATACTACAAATTACATTATATTTAAGCCTACAGGTACCATAAATTAATTTTTTTTACGCCACAAGTACAGTTCTACAAATTACATTGTGTTTACATCCAAAAGTACTACAAATTGCATTACATTCACGTCGATAAGCATAAGAAACGTTTTATTTTTCTCAGTCATTATGTCTTGTATAGAAGAATGGCCACTGATCTATACTTACAATGATATACAGCAAGCTAACATTATTAATTTTTCACGTGTACCAAAAATGTTACCAAAGTAGGTGATATTTTAACCTATTTTACCGACTATCACTGCTTGTATTACCTGACAGATTTCATCCGTCGTTGATGTGGGCATGACCGACCTCGTGACATTTCTGCACGTGAACCTACCTGAAGCGAACTCCATGATATATATACATGTGGTTTAGTACCAATTATGCTTCAGTTCGTGTCAGCGTTGCTTTTCCCGCTCGGGATTCGAACCCCGGGTGAAAGGCGACCGCATTAAAATTGTGCTACCCGACCATCTGCTTTTCAGAAACTACTTTATATAAAGAGTTCGGAAAGAAAGTAACGTAGACATTGCTCAAGATATGTTAGGTAGTAAGTACAAAGAGGATTATCAAGATTTCCATATATCTTTAGACCGTTTTACATTATAGCTATATAACATAATGCGATCTGAATTTATTATAAAAAAAACCCGAAAATGTCAATAATAGCCTTATGTTGTGGTAGAATGTATCGCGCGTTTTATCTCTATATCATTCTTCATCATTATATAATTCTTCCTCACTATGATATTCTTTATCACTATATTCTTCTTCTCTCTATCATTTTTCATCTCTATATCATTTTTCATCACTATATCATTTTTCATCACTATATTATTTTTCATCACTATATCATTTTTCATCACTATATTATTTTTCATCACAATATTATTTTTCATCACTGTATTATTTTTCATCTTTATATCATTTTACATCAATATATCATTATTCATCACTATATCATTTTTCATCACTATATCATTTTTCATCACTATATTATTTTTCATCACTATATCATTTTTCATCACTATATTATTTTTCATCACTATATCATTTTTCATCACTATATCATTTTTCATCCTATATTATTTTTCATCACTATATCATTTTTCATCACTATATTATTTTTCATCACTATATCATTTTTCATCACTATATCATTTTTCATCACTATATTATTTTTCATCACAATATTATTTTTCATCACTGTATTATTTTTCATCTTTATATCATTTTACATCAATATATCATTATTCATCACTGTATTGTTCCTCCTTAATCTGGAGCAACAGAGTTCACAACCAAAAGAAAATATTTACTGAGGAGGCCGAGTCTGGTAAAAAAAAAAACTCAAGATGACAATAATGATATTATGATATGCTTATCACTACTGTACGTGGTGTTGTGATGCTTTCTTGAAAGAATTGGACGCTCTTGAAAGCGAGTATGCAGACTTCGAAAAAGTCATGCCGTTAACGAGAGAGAGAAACAAAAACAGCACAAAACAGTCATTTTAACGGATTGTTCATTAGCACATCAAAGTTTGAAATGTTTAAAGTTAGTTATCATATGTGTTATTCGTACGGAACCGTAACAAAAACAGAAACAAATGGACTGACAAAAAGACCGATAAATGACAAATGAAACAATGATAGATTTATAGATATTGTATTGTGTTAGGATGAAGAGGTTCTTTCAAAGTTAACAGTGCTCTGGAATGGTTCATGATCTCATTTAAATGAGAGACCAATCGACAGGTGTACCATGTAAGTATGTCAAATGGCCACTTCACAGCGGTATGATCTCTAGACAGCTCAAACAGGGTAACCGGAACGTTGTATGTAGTCTCAATTCTAGATAAATGTTTTAAGTATACATAATCATATTTTAATGAACACTTGCACTTTTTGCGTCTACAGGTAACGACGAAACATGTAATATATTAGTAAGCATAAAAATATATTGCTTTACTTCACATGTGTGCTGTTGTAGAACGAAACTTTGCATACGATAAAAGGATATTTTCTCATGGTTATATAACTACCAAACTTATAAATATCTTTATAATAGGTTTGTAATCTTGGTCTCCTGAAATTCAATTATATTTCCGTCTGTACCCCCCCTTTTTTTTTGTAAAACTCCGTTCGGAACACAATTAATACTAAGTTCGGAACACCATTAATATTCCTTTCGGATTACTCTAACCTATTTTACCATCTCACCCAACAATCCACTTTACTATTTCTTCCTTCTCTTCAATTTCTTTCTCTTTAAATTTCTTATCCCTAATAAAGTTCTATTTCATTTCTTCATTTCTGTATGTTGATGTCAATTTATGGTTGTGTGTGTGTGTGTGTGTTTATGCATGTGTGCATGGGTGCATTTCAAACAAAAGTTTACTGTGATATCTATGAATCATAAGGTTTCATAATAGTAAAGAAAGTATGAATCTTGATTTGATGATGATGATGATGAATTGTTGAATGTGGATGATGATGATGATGCATTATTTAGTATGTACAATAATCATGATAGTAATATTGATTGTGATATATATGTTGAAATGGATGATGAGGAAGATTATCATGTTTTTGAGGATGATGATGATGATGATGATGATGATGATGATGCATTATTTAGTGTGTAACATAATAATATTGATTGTGATATATGAGGATTATCATGTATGGTGATAATAATAATAATAATAATAACAATGATCATGTGCATTGTTGAATGTTGATGATGATGTTGATGATTCTTTTGAATGGAGTGTTCTTGTTTGACACACAATGACTATATATGCACCTGTGGTTGGATGTGTGAGAGGGTGTGAGTGTATTTGTCCTGTTCAACATGTAAAATCTTGAAAAATAAAAAATTATATAAAAAAAAAAAAAAAAAATATTCCTTTCGGAACACTATCCATTCGTAACACAAGTAATATTTCAGTTTGGGAAAATATCGTATTTTAGAGATTCACAAGTTGTGTATTTTGCATAGTCTTAAACTTATACAAAAATGCACAGAAAATGAGTGGTTTATGTAAACCTTCGTTTTTAACAGGTTTGTTCCGTACAAATCTTGACTCCGTATTTTTGTTAACTGTCAACATGACCGGTCCAGGTGATGTTGTGCCACATTGCTTTGAAATACAGATAATTAAAACCATAATATAAATGATTAATAAAACACTTACCAACTTCTTCCTCCATGTCTAATATTTGATCCATCAGTTCCTCCCGAGTCTCCCCGGGGGAGGACACGCCCTCCGCCGGTAACCCCGGAACGACAGGCTTGGCGAGTGAAGGAAAAGAGGCAGGACTAGGTAGTGGTGTATCAACCCGAGGGCGGGAACTGCCAGCTGATATTGTACCGGTGCCACCGGGAGAACTGGCGCGCTTATCATTGTAAGCACAGGGATCGCGTAAATCCAAAACACTCGGCCTCTGTTGTTGTAGCAAATCACGTGATGAATCATGTGATATATCATATGACGAAGATTTTAATTGTTCAGTTTTAGTTCCTGTTTTACTTGTGTAATCATACGAAGGAGTTAAAGGTCTATGTTTTTCAAGTTGATTTATTTTCAGCTGAAGGGCTCGTAATTTCTCATCCTTCACGCTTTCACAATCGTCAGGGGAAGCTGTAGCTTTTGTCGATTGTTTCTGAAACTCTGACACAGGGGAACTCTTGTCTTCCTTATTGTCTTTTCTTCCACCTGTCAGTCGAATCACTTTGTCCTTTAAGATGCTATTCTCCTGTTGAATATTTTCCAACTGTTTCTTCAACTCTACGTTAACTGGATAATGTTCCCCTTCTAGGGATCTACTCTTTTTTAATCTCGATTGTCGAGTCTGTAATACACACTGAGCATTTAAACGCTCAATTTCTCTCTCTTTTTCAATAATTTTCCAACGCAGTTCATCTGCTTCTATTTTCATGTCTTTAAGTTTATCTTCATAATAATAATTTGGGGACGACGGTTCGGGTAACACATTTAACAAAATTTCCTTTTGACGAAGCTCCTCGGATAACTTACCACATTCGTTCAATAAATTTTGATTATCCTCTTCCAAATCATGAAACTTTTTCTTCAGAACACTTAATTCTTGATTGTTCAAATCAAGATGAACTTTCAACTCTGCTTCCTCTTTCGTTACAGGGGAGCCCATTACCTCTTTACCTTTCGTAGCTTGTGCGGCAGACATTTTCTTTAACTGGATACTTAGATTTTCGTTCTCTTCTTCGAGTTCCTCTAATTTTCTCCTTGACGTCTTTGCTTCTTCTTCCATGAGTTCTAACTGGTCTTTCAGGTCTGTTTCTCGTTCCATACTATCATAAAGATCTTTCATCAGTTGCGAACTGTCCATTTCCTGGCTACCTTGTTTCCCCATGCGTCCCAATATAATCTGGAATGACAAAATGAGATATCATATTTCATGCATTTTATATAACCCCTGTCTGTTACATGGACGTCATCAAAAGTATCTGTAAAGTTAGGTGACCTATTGTTTAGGAAACACGATGAGAAATTGCGTAGTTTCTCGCCAGAAGTTGTAATGTGCTATTTTAAGCATAGACGGATAATCCTTTCTCTGACATTGCGTGGAAGTGGGCTGCTAAAATTATTGGTAATATAAGATATTCGGAATGTCTCGTCCTTTCAGTTGGCAATAGAAAACTTTTAGAAAGTGGACTGTCAAAATGATCAGTGGCGTAAATGACCGCGTTTACCGGGGAAAGATACGAAGAGTGTGGCATCGTGGTATCAGGTATCATCATTGAGAGGGAAATGTTACGGCCATGGAATCGGCGGATGGGGAAGCTTGGTTTTCTGAGTTCTCCACAAGGAAAAGAGAGAGAGAGAGAGAGAGAGAGAGAGAGAGAGAGAGAGAGAGAGAGAGAGAGAGAGAGAGAGAGAGAGAGAGAGAGAGAGAGAGAGAGAGAGAGAGAGAGAGAGAGAGAGAGAGTCTTTGTGAGAGAGAGAGAGAGAGAGAGAGATGACCAGTCTTTGTGATAAAAAAGAGAGAGAGGGGGGGGGGGAGGGTTGACGTTGTTGTTGTTGTTGTTGTTGTAGTTGATGGCTTTCTTTCCTTGATATCATTTACAAAGTGATGCCAACGCCGATCAGTAGAACTTTTTTTTTAGAAAACTCTGTAATAATCTTTTCAGATGATACAACGTTGAGAATTATGCAACTTGGAATGCTTGAATGTGACGTGCTGTGTAATTCTAATTGAACACTAGTGGACAATATTATTTTTTTAATACACAGAGATCCTTAGAGAAGTACCAGCAGAGTATCCCAGGGACCTGTGAAAGGGGTAAGCGTCTTCTGCTCCATCGACGGCACCGTTCTTTGAATTAAAAATTAGAAAGTGACAAAGAAAATGTCAGCCATAATCATGAGTAAGTTTAACTTCATATCACAAAAAGAAACTAATATGAAAATTCTTAGAAGCCTAAACAGCTAAATTTTCAGTTTATTAATAATATTATGTATAAGTTACTGTCTGTGGATCTGTATTGCGTAGTCTTGCTTACAATATTTTTGTCCATGAAATTCGTGACACTGAACATCATGCGAGAGTTCCGCCACATGCTATCCGCAGCGGGTGGGGGAAGTGTCTTGCCGTAGGAACATAACAACAACAGTACAGGATAATATATGATCGCAACTTCTTGAGAAACACAAACCTTCCTCATTTCTCACGTTTGGTTTCAATAAATTGTTTTGTTTTTTACGGGATTTTATGTCATCGCAACAGTCAGGGTCGGATGAGGACGGTTGTCGAAGTGATGACGAGATTGGAAAATGAAAGAAGGAGCTGTCAGTAAAGAAAAAGATGGAAATGACAAGCGTTGAAATAGTGTGCAATATATCTATATACCAAATATAAACATCACTTTCCGTACAAGAATTGCTAAATGGTTTAATTTAATCTATACAACTCTTGTTGTTCCGGGTGTAAATCTTATATCTAAAGAGACGCTCTGTTGTAAGACTTATTATCATCATCAAACAACTCAAAGAAGACTGGTTCCCTACGTGGTAGTAATAACACAGGGACGACTGGTTCCCTACGTGGTAGTAATAACACAGGGACGACTGGTTCCCTACGTGGTAGTAATAACACAGGGACGACTGGTTCCCTACGTGGTAGTAATAACACAGGGACGACTGGTTCCCTACGTGGTAGTAATTACACAGGGACGACTGGTTCCCTACGTGGTAGTAATAACACAGGGACGACTGGTTCCTTACGTGGTAGTAATAACACAGGGACGACTGGTTCCCTACGTGGTAGTAATAACACAGGGACGACTGGTTCCCTACGTGGTAGTAATAACACAGGGACGACTGGTTCCCTACGTGGTAGTAATAACACAGGGACGACTGGTTCCCTACGTGGTAGTAATAACACAGGGACGACTGGTTCCCCTCGCGGTAGTAATAACACAGGGACGACTGGTTCCCTACGTGGTAGTAATAACACAGGGACGACTGGTTCCCTACGTGGTAGTAATAACACAGGGACGACTGGTTCCCCTCGCGGTAGTAATAACACAGGGACGACTGGTTCCCCTCGCGGTAGTAATAACACAGAGACGACTGGTTCCCGACGTAGTAGTAATAACACAGGGACGACTGGTTCCCTACGTAGTAGTAATAACACAGGGACGACTGGTTAACACAGGGACGACTGGTTCCCTACGTGGTAGTAATAACACAGGGACGACTGGTTCCCTACGCAGTAGTAATAACAGAGGGACGACTGGTTCCCTACGCAGTAGTAATAACAGAGGGACGACTGGTTCCCTACGCAGTAGTAATAACAGAGGGACGACTGGTTCCCCTCGCAGTGGTTCCCCTCGCAGTAGTAATAACACAGGGACGACTGGTTCCCCTCGCAGTAGTAATAACACAGGGACGGCTGGTTCCCTACGTGGTAATAATAACACAGGGACGACTGGTTCCACACGTGGTAATAATAACACAGGGACGACTGGTTCCCTACGTAGTAGTAATAACACAGAGACGACTGGTTCCCGACGTAGTAGTAATAACACAGGGACGACTGGTTCCCCTCGCGGTAGTAATAACACAGGGACGACTGGTTCCCTACGTGGTAGTAATAACACAGGGACGACTGGTTCCCTACGTAGTAGTAATAACACAGGGACGACTGGTTCCCTACGTAGTAGTAATAACACAGGGACGACTGGTTCCCTACGTGGTAGTAATAACACAGGGACGACTGGTTCCCTACGTGGTAGTAATAACACAGGGACGACTGGTTCCCTACGCAGTAGTAATAACACAGGGACGACTGGTTCCCTACGTGGTAATAATAACACAGGGACGACTGGTTCCCTACGTGGTAGTAATAACACAGGGACGACTGGTTCCCCTCGCAGTAGTAATAACACAGGGACGACTGGTTCCCTACGTGGTAGTAATAACACAGGGACGACTGGTTCCCTACGTGGTAGTAATAACACAGGGACGACTGGTTCCCTACGTGGTAGTAATAACACAGGGACGACTGGTTCCCTACGTGGTAGTAATAACACAGGGACGACTGGTTCCCTACGTGGTAGTAATAACACAGGGACGACTGGTTCCCTACGTGGTAATAATAACACAGGGACGACTGGTTCCCTACGTGGTAGTAATAACACAGGGACGACTGGTTCCCTACGTGGTAGTAATAACACAGGGACGACTGGTTCCCTACGTGGTAGTAATAACACAGGGACGACTGGTTCCCTACGTGGTAGTAATAACACAGGGACGACTGGTTCCCTACGTCAGTAGTAATAACACAGGGACGACTGGTTACGCAGTAGTAATAACCCTACGCGGTAGTAATAACACAGGGACGTAATAACACAGGGACTGGTTCCCTACGTGGTAGTAATAACACAGGGACGACTGGTTCCCTACGTGGTAGTAATAACACAGGGACGACTGGTTCCCTACGTGGTAGTAATAACACAGGGACGACTGGTTCCCTACGTGGTAGTAATAACACAGGGACGACTGGTTCCCTACGTGGTAGTAATAACACAGGGACGACTGGTTCCCTACGTGGTAATAATAACACAGGGACGACTGGTTCCCTACGCGGTAGTAATTACACAGGGACGACTGGTTCCCTACGTGGTAGTAATAACACAGGGACGACTGGTTCCCTACGCGGTAGTAATAACACAGGGACGACTGGTTCCCTACGTAGTAGTAATAACACAGGGACGGCTGGTTCCCTAGGTGGTAGTAATAACACAGGGACGACTGGTTCCCTACGTAATAATGGTAGTAATAACACAGGGACGACTGGTTAACACAGGGACGACTGGTTCCCTACGCGGTAGTAATACGACTGGTTCCCTACGTGGTAGTAATAACACAGGGACGACTGGTTCCCTACGTGGTAATAATAACACAGGGACGACTGGTTCCCTACGTGGTAGTAATAACACAGGGACGACTGGTTCCCTACGCGGTAGTAATACGACTGGTTCCCTACGTGGTAGTAATAACACAGGGACGACTGGTTCCCTACGCGGTAGTAATACGACTGGTTCCCTACGTGGTAGTAATAACACAGGGACGACTGGTTCCCTACGTGGTAGTAATAACACAGGGACGACTGGTTCGGTAGTAATACGACTGGTTCCCTACGTGGTAGTAATAACACAGGGACGACTGGTTCCCTACGTGGTAGTAATACGTGGTAGTAATAACACAGGGACGACTGGTTCCCTACGTGGTAGTAATAACACAGGGACGACTGGTTCCCTACGTGGTAGTAATAACACAGGGACGACTGGTTCCCTACGTGGTAATAATAACACAGGGACGACTGGTTCCCCTCGCGGTAGTTATAACACAGGGACGACTGGTTCCCTACGTGGTAGTAATAACACAGAGACGACTGGTTCCCCTCGCGGTAGTAATAACACAGGGACGACTGGTTCCCCTCGCGGTAGTTATAACACAGGGACGACTGGTTCCCTACGTGGTAGTAATAACACAGGGACGACTGGTTCCCTACGTGGTAGTAATAACACAGGGACGACTGGTTCCCTACGTGGTAGTAATAACACAGGGACGACTGGTTCCCTACGTGGTAGTAATAACACAGGGACGACTGGTTCCCTACGTGGTAGTAATAACACAGGGACGACTGGTTCCCTACGTGGTAATAATAACACAGGGACGACTGGTTCCACACGTGGTAATAATAACACAGGGACGACTGGTTCCCCTCGCGGTAGTTATAACACAGGGACGACTGGTTCCCTACGTGGTAGTAATAACACAGGGACGACTGGTTCCCTACGTGGTAGTAATAACACAGGGACGGCTGGTTCCCTACGTGGTAGTAATAACACAGGGACGGCT